ATTATATATAATTGTATCTATATACATATATATATATATATATATATATATATTGTTCACACTGGCTCACCCCCCATTGACACCAGATGATATGGAAGTTTGTGCGGATTACATATTGAAGCTGGTTAATTGTGTGGTGAGAGGCGATGATCTGATAAAGGGACTGCGCCACATAGGCGAGGTGGAGCTGTATGAGCGGCTTTCGAATGTTCTGGAGCTCAGGTAATATATATATATATATATATAAGCATGTTGTGTAGATATCTAAAGCAAATTGGCGACCCCGAGTTGTTGACTCTGACATAAACACGAGACTAAAATCAATTTCATGCTATACCGATGAACCCTATTTTTAAGCTGTATTCTAGCTTGCAAAATAGCATTTTGGCAATGAATATCACGAGATTTTATCTCAAATTTCGTATCGGACAAAAACAGCTCACAAACACATTCTGCAATCGCAGTAAATTGGCCATCATATACCACGGTGCTTGACCTCGATATTTGTATATCTGGCAAGCATTAAATAAAAACTTAGTTGGCATATAATTGTTACTATGTTAGGAACGGGTAGTGGTTTACCTGCGTGCATATACTGATTGCATTCATAGCAAGTTGGCACTCATCTCTATCACAACGCTCGTACGTCCCACGTGTAATATCTGACAAAACTCCAAACACAAACTAACATGCACAACGTATATACCCCCAAACGCAACGTAACATACACATCGTGTAAAACTCCAAACACAACCTGCCATACGCAATGTATAAAACTCCAAACACAACCTAACATACACAACGTATAAAACTGCAAACACAACCTAACATACACAACATATAAAACTTCAAACGCAACCTAACATACATAACGTATAAAACTGCAAGCACAACCTAACATACACAACGTATGTATAAAACTGCAAACACAACCTAACATACACAACGTATAAAACTGCAAACACAACCTAACATACACAATGTATAAAACTGCAAACACAACTTAACATACACAACGTATAAAACTTCAAACACAACCTAACATACACAACGTATTCAGTAAATTGGCGGCGGACGAGCCGAGAGTGCCTATGGCAAAACCACACGACGAACAGTTGACGGCATCCCTCAAAGAGCTGGTGACTGAGATCACTATGGCCAGTGTGCGCATGGCTGGAGCTGTACGGTATATGGCTAGCAAACCAGCGAAGGTACGTGATAAGATGTATGTTAAACGTAAACCAGTGAAGGGACGTGATCAGATATATATGAAACGTAAACCAGTGAAGGTACGTGATCAGGTCTATATGAAACGTACACCAGTGAAGATACGTGATCAGATATATATGAAACGTAAACGAGCGAAGGCGCGTGATCAGTCAGATGTATTGGAAGAGTGATGGGGTGTATTTCAGGCCGCTTGCCCTTTTCAGGCTATGATGCAATGTGCGAAACCCACACCATACATTCTATGCCAGTGTTTGTATGAGTCCTTGGTATAAGATAGAAGAATATTCATCGAGTATGATACATCTGCGTGTGATTGTGGGTGACCTATGGGACCTACTTACACGCACACCACCGGTATATATACTACTATACACTGTCGATTCGATTCTTCTGCTGTGTCGTAGTTCTATTTTTGTCGTGCGATTGTTTATATACATTACCTCATTCAGATACTGCATCGGCCATTTTAATAAGGTACCCTTATATTATACGCACGCAGAGTCATGAGAGATACACGCGCCCACTAGCCACACCTATGCTCGAGGTCGCACACCAATGTAGTGCTCTGCTGCGATCCTATTCAACGGCCTTGCGCGAGGGTCAGCTTATTGCCAAGAAAGACGCGTCACTATCCAAGTAACTTTGTATTTGTGTGTGTTGTATAAGTGACCTTGTATTTGTATATGTTGTTGAAGTGACTTTCACTATTTTTGTGTTACTCAAGTAACTGTATTTGTATATGTTATATGAGTAACTTTGAATTTATATATTCTATTCACGATGTTATTTTAGTAACCTTGTATTTGTATATGTTGTTCAAGTAGCTTTATATATTTTTATGTTATCGGAGTAATTTTCTATATGTATGTGTTATTCAAGTAACTTTCTATTTACATATGTCCTTCAAGTATCTTACTATATGTATAAGTGTGTATACATATGTGCTCTGTACACTGTAAGTATGTGCGATGTGCATTATAAGGAAGCAAGTGTACAAGAAATATCGTCCGATCAGATATGTACAATGTATAGTACAAGTAGGTATATGCAGAAGAAAGACCCCTCCTTGTCTAGGTCTGAGCAATATGCATGATACTGACGTGAATGTCCCTTTCACGCTTCAGTGTTTTCACTGTACTTTCATCAGCTATAGCGTTGCCCTGGCCCAGTGTATTCTCGCTGTACTTGCTCAGTGTTATTTGTACCTCGCGGGGGTTTTTTTTAGTTGAAGCTCTCGCCCCATTAGCCGGGTTAGCTCTAAGCCAGGCGCATTCATACTGTGGCCTAGAAAACAACGGTTTGACAGTGAACAGGCTCGCATGCCGTCATAGTATTGTATCTGTTTTTGTTGTTGTTGTTTTTTTGCTGTAGCGGAAGAGCTTGTACCCGCAGATCCGTACAGTCGCACAAGCTCTCCCACTACAGTCACTGTGCGACTGTACGGATCGCTACAGTATTAATCCGTACAGTCGCACAAGCCTATTGAAGTGTGTGTTCACATGCCTATGTATCCTGACCATTGGAGTCCTGAGTCTCAACAACCCCACTGTTGTAATGAACACAGGAGGCAAGGTGATCTGGATGAAGGGCCGCTGCAATCGGCCTATCGGGCGCTGCGAGCATACCATAAACAGAGCTCCAGCAACAATCTGGTATGTATGGCAATGGCTCGTTGTCTGGTGCATATAGTGGTACGTGTTTGTGGTCATCTGGCATGTTTAGCACACACTCCTGGTTGCCAACATGCCCGGCGTTACGCTGGAAGTGGATGTTACGAGGATAAAGTGCCGAGTGTTATGCATCAGAGAGTGGCGTTTTACATTGCTTTTTCATCTATTAATTGAAAAGCCCTCTATCCGCCTCGCTATGGGATGATATACACACATTTAGTTGCGTCGCAGAGATACAATCACCTGAGATAGTGACCAGTAGGATTGTCACCTGCTCATTGTATGGTGTACGTTTTATGCTGCCGGTAATATATATATAAATGGTCTCAGCAACGGACCGTCAGGACCACTTTGCCTAGTTTACTTACATCAACACAATGCACACAGATACTGCTAAGCTAAATTACTAGTAGAGAGACTGCAGT